CCTTGCCACAAGTTAGCGGTGGCGGAAATTAAGGCTGATTAATTCTTGCTGTGTTGGGTTTTTCCCAGGCAAAACGGGGGAAAGCGGTGAGCTCCAGGTTTGGATCAAAGAAGCCAAGAACCTCACGGCTGCCAAATCCGGCGGGACCTCAGACAGCTTTGTCAAGGGGTGAGTGTGGGTCCTGGGTGGGGGAGCAATGAAGGCACTGTCCTCCCTGGCCGCATCCCAGAGCCTCCTCAGGGAGGGATTCTCTCCGCTAGCTGCCCCACGCTGCCTGCGATGGTACCCTGAAAGTCTCTGCCTGGAGATGAGATGTTCCTGGTAGCAAACGCTCTCCTGGGTTTTGGCCAGCTGAGAGGTCGCAGTGGGAGGCCGCATGCAGGGCAGGGCTCCAGCTGCCATCAAATTGTCTTCCCAGAGGTCACCAAGCCACTGGGCAGTGTGGCTGGGGGCGAGCAGGCTGCAGTCCTTGTCCTCTCACCTCCTTAGACCACCTGCAGTCTGCCGAGTGGCTTTTCAGGAGTTGGGGCAGAGACCCAGCCCCTTGCAGACCATCGTGGCTCTTTTTGGGCCATGTCAGGGAAGTTGGGCTCCAGACCAGGTCCTGGGGTGCTGCTAACCCAAGGGGCTGCTTCCCCCAGCTACCTCCTGCCACACAAAAACAAAGCCTCCAAGAGGAAGACGCCAGTGGTGAAGAAGACCCTGAACCCTCATTACAACCACACCTTTGTCTACAACGGCATCAGCCCCGATGATCTGCAGCACATCTGCCTGGAGCTGACGGTCTGGGACCGGGAGCCACTGTCCAGCAACGACTTCCTCGGGGGTGTCCGTCTGGGGGTGGGCAATGGTGAGGAGCCCTGGGGTGCTATCAAACCCTGGGGACAAGCAGCCTTGCTTGGGGCTGCCTTGCTGCGGGCAGGAGGCTGCTCCGGCAGTGACTTCTCCCCATGTCCATCCTTTCTCCCAGGCATGAGCAACGGGCAGGCTGTGGACTGGATGGACTCCATGGGCGAGGAGCTGAACCTGTGGCAGAAGATGTGCCAGTACCCAGGTTCGTGGGCGGAGGGGACGCTCCAGCTCCGCTCCACCATGGCCAAGCTGAGGCCATAGGCTGCGGCACCAGCACTGTGACTTGGCCGAGGGCTGGCACTGCTGCTCAAGAGCTGCACTCGCAGCACGGCCCGGCAGGGCTGCCAAACATGTTTTGTTTTTATTTTTTGCTTATACTTTAATAAACATGACCTTCTCTAAACAGGCTTGGGCAGAAAGTCGTCTTGGCCTCGCTTTGTTTAAAGGGTTTTCCTTTTGTCTTAGGCTTCGCACTAATTATCAGGCTGGAGTCCTTGTGGACCCTCCCTTCTTCCCCCCCCAGGCAAATGCTTTGAAATGTGGTTGGGTTTTTTCTTCTTTCCATTCTTCTTCCTCCCACCCCCTCTGTTTCACAGTCTGCTCCCTCGTTGTCTTCCCCACCCTCCTCCCCCAGGATGCTGCTGGCTCCAGGACCGGGCATCCGTGCACAGCCCAGCCCCGGCCCTGGCTGCAGGGCCAGGATGGCCCAGGATGGGGGGCTGGGGGTAGTGCCTCCCAGGAAGGATTTGTTTCCCAGGCCTCTCCGCATCACACCTTCTGCCAGCACTGACTTTTATACAAACTTATTTATTTTGAGTTAATATTCTACAAAACACTTCCCAGGAAGAGTTGCCCCATGGCTGGTGGAAGGGGAAGTGAGGGGTAGGGGGGGGATGGCGAGCCCTCGGGGTGGGCTGCTGCTACTGGCTTTGCTGAGCGTGGGGCCGTTTGCTTTTACTAAAGGCTTTCTGGCAGGACCCTGGCAGCAACGCCTGCCTGGCAGGGCTGACCCCAGGAGGGGAGGGAGCAGGTTCAGGTTGTGCACGGGGTGAGGACGGCCGCGGGGAGGGTGAAGCTGCTGCATTAGAGGCCGTCGCCCTGCCTGCGCTGCCTGCCCTGC